GCTGTGACAGCAGAACCCAGCCTTTCTGAGCACTCTCTGTGCAGTTCTCTGCCAGGCACTTCAGAGAGGAGAAATACTAGATGAATAAATGGACAGATGGATGGCCCCATTCTCCGGGGGTTCAAAGCCCACATTGCAGAGGCTGGAGCCACAGGCCCACACACTCACACCCCCATCCTCCCTATACTCACTCCCCCCCACACGCACCCCCTATACCTGCATGTACCCGTGTTCCCATGCACCCTCCCCCCACACGCACCCCCTATACCTGCATGTACCCGTGTTCCCACGCACCCCCCTGCCCCACACACCCCTGCTCGTGCACACGCCCGTGCACCGAGGCACATGGTTATTTCGGAACGAGTTTCCCGAGTCTTGCGAGCTGTAGTTTTGGCCAGAGCCTCTCCAGCTTGGGGCACCCGCTCCTGACATGGCCTCTCAGGGAGGGGCTGCGTGGGTCCCAGCCCCGCCGTCCCGCAGCCAGATCATGACTCACCCTCCTGAGCCTCTTGCCTCAGTCTGTCAACTGGGCGGGTCCCGCCCTGCTTGCCTCACAGGGTGGCACCAGCGTTCCCGTGAGACATGGGCGTGTTTGTCAATGGCGAACTGTGTTCCCAGCGGCAGATGCTGCTGCTGCCTGCCCAGCTCCTGCGCGGAAGATTCCTCCGCCCACAGGCGCCTCCGTCCTGGGGTGGGGAGTGTGTGGAGGTGAGGCCAGTTCTGAGGCGATGCTGGAGGCGTGGGCTCCTCCGCCCTCATCCTTTGCAGGGCGGGGCCCGTCCGGTGGGGGTGGTAGGGCACTCGGCCATCCAGCTCGGGAGGCGGGTAAGAGAATTCGGCAAAAGAGAGTGAGGGGAGAAGGGAGGCGAAACCACTGGCCAAAGCCTGAGGCTAGAGCAGTGTCCTTCCTGCAAGGAAATGCCCTCTCGCCCTGGCCAGTTCGCTCAGTGGTTAGAGTGCCAGCCCTCGGACCAGAGGGTCTCGGGTTCGATTCCCAGTCAGTCAAGGGCATGTACCTGGGTTGCAGGTTCCATCCCTGACCCGGGTCGGGGCATGTGTGGGAGGCAACCAGTCGATGTGTCTCTCTCAGATTGATGCTTCACTCTCTCCCTCTCCCCCCTCCCTTTCATTCTCTCTAAAAATAAAAAAGGAAATGTCGCCTGGCCGGCGTGGCTCAGTGGTTGAGTATTGACCTATGAACCAGGAGGTCACGGTTTGATTCCCGGTCAGGGCACATGCCCGGATTGCAGGCTCAACCCCCAGTAGGGGGGCGTGCAGGAGGCAGCTGATCCATGATTCTCTCTCATCATTGATGTTTCTATCTCTCTCTCCCTCTCCCTTCATCTCTGAAATCAATAAAAACTATATAACAACAACAAAAAAGGGAATGTCATCTCACATTCCATGCTCCTGGCACGTCCCTGGGCCACACCTCACGCACAGCCGGGAGCGCCCTCCCCGGGAGGAAAGCCGGGATCACATCTCCCAGGTGTGGGGATTCCTTTTGGAGCCATCGCAGACCCTCCAGCTTTGGGGGGCCCCTGGAGAGCCCAGGGGGTGGAGGGCGGGAGTGAAAGAAGGGAATTGCCTGTTGGGTTGCCAGAAGGCCACCTCATCTTCTTTCTTCGAAGCTGTGCCTGGGGCCCCAAGATGCCGGGTGGCCCCCTTTGGGTTCAAGCACTTGTATTTGGGGTCCATGGAGACCCAAGGGCTACTCTACGGGGGCAGGGATATGGGAGTGGAACTACAGTAGGTCCTCTGCGAGGAGCCCCTGATCAGAGGTCTCCCCGCTTTTTAAAAAATATATATTTAATTGATTTTTTACAGAGAGAAAAGGAGAGGGATAGAGAGTTAGAAACATCGGTGAGAGAGAAACACCGATAGGCTGCCTCCTGCACGCCCCTTACTGGGAATTGAGCCCACAACCAAGGTACATGCCCTTGACCGGAATCGAACCCGGGACCCTTCAGTCTGCAGGCCGACGCTCTACCTACCGGGCACACCGGCCGGGGCCGAGGTCTCCCTTTTCGTTTCCCTCCCCCAATCTAGCCCAAGGCCTGCAGTTCCGCATTAGGGAGCCACAGGCCAGAGGAGCAGAGGACTGGCCCCAGGGCGCACTGAGCACAGGAGCGGAACCTGGGCCTCCCGTCCTAGCCCTGCACTCCTTGCCAGGCCTCGGAGCTGGGCTTGGCCGGGGACGGCTTTCCCGAGGGGAGCGTGGATGAAGCCGGTTGGCAGCAATGGCCTGTGGGCCGCCGCCGTCAGGATGGGCCCCTAGGAGAGGGGGCGAGGCCTGGCTCACCCGCGAGGGAGGGTGAGGAGCAGTGGGGACAGCGTGGCCGCCTCTCCTGTCTCACGTGCTGAGCCTTCCTGGGTCCCCATCGCTCCTCTCCCTCCGTCCTCGCGATGCGCTGTGAAGGCTCTGGCTGTCGCCCTCCGCTTTTAGATCTGGTCATTACGTTGGTAAACGTTCTCTGAGCCAGTGCTCTCTGCCAGGCCCTGTGCCTCCGCCCCGGGACCCAGAGGTGAGCCGGCGGACTGGCCCTGCCCCTCTGGGCCCACCGTCTGATGAGGGAGGCAGCATGGTGGCTGCCTGGCGGGGAAACAGCTGCATGAGCTGGGACTGGCTACTTCTCTCTGGGCCTCCATTTCTCAGCTGAAGATGGTGAGAATGAAGTCCCTTCTTCCTAATATTTATAAAGGGCTCCGAACAGAGCCAGGCACGTTGAAAGTGCGTGTGTGTGTGTGTGTGTGTGCACGCGTGCGATTAGGGTTATCAAAAGGGACAGCTAATTGTAGGTTGTGAGCCAGTGCTACCCAGGAGGGAGGTAAAAGGGGACGAGGGGGAGCTTTCCCGAGAGCTGGAAATGCTTTCTGTCAGATGGGGGTGTGGGTTCCAGGGGTGTGTGCAGTTGTCAGAATTCATTGAACTGGTAATAAAAAGAACAGAATACCTCCTAGAACTGGACTCTTGGATTTGGTGCATTTTGCTGTACGTGAAGTATACCTCAGTAAACAATGTACATCAAGGAAGACAAAGAAAGGGTGGAGAGGAAACGAGGGACCCTTGAGACCCTCTTTAGACAGCGTAGTCAGGGAGGGCTTCCGAGAGGAGGTGACACTGGAAGGATGCCTAGAAGAGAAGAAGTCTCTGGCTGTGGGGAAGGGAGAGGAGGAAGCTGAGGCTCTAAGACGTTTGGGACCACACCCCGTGACCGCCCGAGGGATGGAGAGTGGCAGCCGGGAGATTTCTTGGCAGCTGGGCCCGGGTGGGCCCTGCAGAGAGGCCGGTGGTGGCATCTGCATTTTCTAGGGTCAGCGTCTCCCTGCTCCTGGGCCTGTTCTCGGGGCCTTGGCACTCAGAGAAGCACTATTTTAACTTGTGTGGGAAATGAGTCCCTAAATATGCACTGAGTGGGGCGGGAGGCATCGGGAGGCTGTGGCTCAGGGCAGCTCTGCCTTCCTCCACCTCAGCGAGCACAGGGTGCAGGCCGGCTGTGAAGCTCTCTCCCGCCTCCTCTCCCCTCGGAGACCTCAGGCCCCCTCCCGCCCAGCCCCGCCCCCTCGTTGGGGAGCCCAGTGTTTGGGGCCAGGCCCCTGCCTGGGATCCCCAGCTTTACAGACCTGCCTCTGCCCTCAAGCTGCTTTGCCTGGTGGGAGGGACAGAGGCACAGACCATGGGGCAGTGCTGGGAGGACTTCCAGAGGAGGAATATATATATTCAGAGAGGAGCAGGGCCTTGCCCAGCATCACACAGCAACTCTATGTGATCCCTCTCAGTCCGAATCCCCCTCTGCGCCCCCTCCCCCCGCCCCGTAACCCAGGAAGGAGCCTCCCAGCTCCATCGGGCCGGGCTCAGCCTGGGGTCTGCTCCGAGCCCCAGCAAGGGCAGGCACCGCAGTGCACATGCTCATCATGGGAGATGCCTGAGCTGGGCCCAGGAGGCTCCTCCCCAGGAGAAGGAGAGGGCGAGAGTGCGGCCTGTGTGGGACCACCAAGTGCATCCTCTGGCTAGAACCCCACCTCCCTCAACGAGGGTCCTCTCTGCCCCCAGACTCCATTTCCAGGTCCACAACCCTGTGCCATCCCATGTGTGGGCCTGGCCTGGGGCCAGAGGAAGAGGAGTAAGGTGGGAGAGGAAGGCGAGCCCTGGGCGCCAAGGGAGGACCAAGGGGACAGGGTTGGGGGTGGACTTAAAGGGGGGAGAAGTGAAGGGCCAGGTGGGGCCAGGTGGGGCTGAGGACAGCACAGAGAGTGTTCCAGCTGTGGGCTTGGGAGTTTTTGGAGCTAGAGATGCCAGAGTGAGGCAGAATGAGGAGGGGTCCAGGAGCCAGCCTGGGGTCCCAGCAGGACAGGGTCAGGTCAGGCAGGAGGCCAAGGAGGAAAGGGGTGCAGAGAGACAGAGCAGGGAGGGAGGATGGTGTGTCTCGGGTCCTCTGGCTAAGGACTGGCGTGCCCCTGGCTAGAGCCACCTCAGGACACAGTCGGGGCTGATGTGGGGAGTGGGACAGCCGAGCCTCTGCCCCCAGCACCGTGAGCAAGAAGCTGGTCGGTGGGGCTGTGTGGGCACAGCATGGAGGGGCTCTGTGGGAGCTCGGGGCAGCAGGAGCAAGAGGCCCCTGGTTCCCAGGCTGGGCAGTGGAGCAGGGCCCCCAGAGCTGGGGGGGGCTTGCCCAGCTCCCTGCACCCCCAGGCTAGAGGCGAGGTGAGCTGCTCCAGAAATGAAGGGGCAGCCAATGCCGCACCCACCGCCTTCCTCCCACCCGAGCCTAGAGCGCTCGGGCCCAGAGCCTGCCCGGCACCGTGTGCAGCAGAGGAGACAACGGCCGGGTGGCCAAGGTCCTGTGGGTGCCGAGCGATGGGGAGCTGACCTGAACCCCAGCCTTAGGTTCCCGCCCGGGTGCTCAGCCCCGCTGAGCTGGAAACCCAGCCTTGCGGGGTGTGGGGGGGGGTGTGGGGTATGGGGTATGGGGGAGGGCCCGTTGCTGCTCTCCCCATCCTGGGCCACGTCGCCCGGCAGCCGACTTCTCCCCACTCCAGGCCTCGCTCATTTCCTGCGACTGACCTTCTGGTGGCAGCCATCGCCCAGTGCTGAGCGAGCCTGAGTGCGGATCTCTGCGCCGCCCACCGCTTCCTGCCTTGGGCGCTGCGTCCTGTGGGGATGACTCTGCCATCGCTCCGTTGTGCAGGGTTGTGGGCTGCGCTGGGAGATGGGAAAGTTTGCCTGAGGTCGCACTGAGTCATGGGAGAAATTTAGCCCAAACCCAGACTGCACCCCACCAGGCCGTCACCTCCCTCAGCTGGGGTCCTCTCTGCCCCCAGACACTCTTTCTGGGCCCACAACCCTGTGCCATCCCATGTGTGGCCCTGGCCTGGGCCCCACAGCCCATGTGCCATTGAAACCCGTTCCATTTCCACTTCACTTGCCGCCCCGAGAAGGGAGGCGGGGGCTGCCCCTCCCAGGGCCTTCCCGGGCCCCAGCCAAGCTGCTTGGGGCTGACCTCACCCCCTGGAGCCCGCACCAGGGAAACCTGGATTCACACCCTCGCCGTGTCCTCCATAAGCTGGGCGCCCGGGGGCAGGTCCCTCTCTGCGGGGTGCGGGGGGCAGCGGCTCTGTCCCGGGTGCCGGGAGCCTGACGCTGTCTGTGCTGCCTCCAGGTCCTGTACGACAGCCCCAAGGCCAGGCAGGAGGTGGAGCAGCACTGGCAGGCGTCGGGCGGCCCCCACATCGTGCGCATCCTCGACGTGTACGAGAACATGCACCGCAACAAGCGCTGTCTGCTCATCATCATGGAGTGGTGCGGCCCCCGCCTCGTTGGGACCCCGAGGTTCCCGGGACTCCCGGGGAGGGTCTGAGCTCACCACCCTCCCCTCCTTCTAAGAGTTCAGTTCAACCCACTCAAGCTGACAGCCATCACGCTCAGGCTGTTCGAGGCCCAGGGAGCTGCCAGTGACTTCCCCAGGGAAGAGCAGAGGCCTGAGCCTGTGGCAGGGGCAGGGGCAGGGGCAGGGGCAGGGGCAGGGGCAGGGGCAGGCTGGCGCCCGGTCGTCCCGCTCCGCTCACAGCCACCTTCTCTTACAGCATGGAGGGTGGTGAGTTGTTCAGCAGGATTCAGGAGCGTGGCGACCAGGCTTTCACTGAGAGAGGTACACGCCGCAGCTGGGTCGCGGGGCGGGGGGAGGGGGCGCAGAGGGGGATTCGGACTGAGAGGGATCACACAGAGTTGCTGTGTGATGCTGGGCAAGGCCATGCTCCTCTCTGTGCCTCAGTCTCCCCAGCTGAACAAGAAGGTGAGACAGTGTCCCTGCCCCAGGGAGTCCTGGGAGTGTGTAGATGGACACCTGTTGGAGATGGGCTCTCCGTGGCCTGGGGTGAAGGTGGCCCAGGCCTGAGGAAAGGGGGCTAAGGCATCCCCAGAGGAAGTTAGGGTGACTGGGTAGGTGTATGGGATGGGGTTCTGGGGTGCAGGCGTCCTGTCACCATCTGGTGCTGTCCCAGGGGGGTAACAGGGTGGGGACCCCAGGCTGCCAGGCCTCTGACTGGCGTCACTCAACCTCCTGTGTCTGCAGAAGCTGCGGAGATCATGCGTGATATTGGCACCGCCATCCAGTTCCTGCACAGCCAGAATATCGCCCACCGAGACGTCAAGGTGAGGCTCCAGGACCCGAGTTGGGGGGCCAGAGGGGGAAGTGTGAGTCACAACCCCCGGTGGCTCCCAGCACCCAGTGCCTGGAGGCCGTCCTTCAAGGGCTCTGCTCCTGGCCCAGGCTGGTATCCAGTCTCTTCTCCCCTGGCTGCAGCTCACTCGTGCTGCTGCGGCCACGCGGGTCTCCTCGATGCCTTCAAACTGTGACCCAGTAGCTGCAAGCCTAGCTGAGTGCCTGCTTCAAGCCGGTAGGCCCCGGCGAGCATCTCGTTTAACCCTCACCGAACCCTGTGAGGTTAGGGGCCAGTGCCCATTTGACAGATGAGAAAACTGAGGCTTGGGGAGAGATTGTCATGCCCAAGGCCATGAAGTTGCCACACGGGTTGGTTCATTCATTTGTTCACAGCAAGGAATTTTGTGAACATGTCCTGTGCTGGGCCTCAGGCAGGGCTGCCTGGCACCGTTGGGGCTTCTGTGAGGTGACAGCCATAGTTTCGAGGTCGAGCCCTCTAACGCCAGCCTTTTAAGGGAAAGAAGCCATTCGCTAGGCGGCGAGGAGGAAGGAGCCGCAGTGGGTCCAGTTGCCAGGGCTGCTTGCTCTTTCCGTGGACGGCTTCACCCACCGCAGCCCTCCCGCCTTCCTCTCCCGGGGGGACTGGGTCTTAGAGGTCATGATCAGGCCGATGGAATGCAAACCGAGGCCACCCTGCACGAGCCTGCCCAGGCCCAGAGCTTAGCCTCCCGAGGCCTATTCCCTCCCTGGGCCAGGGAGCTGCGGTCCAGCTGCGGTCCAGCTGCTGCATCCGGGCCTTCCTCTGGCCGGTACTGCCCCCCACCTATAGTTCTCCTAGGACTCTGGGTCCACCTGCAGCCCTCTGTGAGCCCTTGCTTTGCTTTGGCGCTGGCTTCCTTTTTCCCGAGGGGAGGAGAACCTTCCCTTGTGTAGACAAAACCTGCTTCCCCGTTTGATCCCAATCCGAGGTCGAGTCATCTCACTCGAACCCAGGAAAGAGCTTTCCCTGGCTCGACACTGGCGCCTCACCCCCCACCCTGCCTCCTCTCCTCATGGGCCAGCTGGGGGGAGAGAGGGAGGAAGCTGGCGAAAGGTCACCTTGGGACTCTGTCCCCACCTGGTGCCTTGCTCCAGACCCCTGTCTTCTCTGCCTGGCCCAGCCCGAAAACCTGCTCTACACGTCCAAGGAGAAGGACGCGGTGCTCAAGCTCACCGACTTCGGCTTTGCCAAGGAGACCACCCAGAACGCCCTGCAGACACCCTGCTACACTCCCTATTACGTGGGTGAGTCCTCGGGATGGCGTGTCCCCCCCTTCCCACACCGCACCCTGCCGTGGCGCGGGGCGCCGGTGGGTTGCAGAAGCCAAAGGGTTAAAGCCCGGTAGCGAGGGAGGGGCATTCTGTGTGCGGGGAGGCAGTGCGGTGGGGGGCCGGAGGCTGCAAAAATATTCTTCCGAACTTCAGCTTCTGCTTTTGAAAATAGATCCAGGAAAATTCTGGCTGTGGCCTGTGAGCCGGATGACATCACAGCAGCTCTAAATATATACGTGACAAAGTCTGCTCAGCCCTGGGCTTTCTCTCTCCGGTGCTTATCTTCCTGGGACTCAGATGCGGGAAGTGGGCAGGCCTGTCCTCCTACCGGAGGGGCGCGGGCTCCAGCCGCCTCCTGTGGCCGGACGCCACCGGGGTGCGCACACTCGTGCTTCCTGGAAAGTTCCTCGCTCCCTGTGGACGGGCAGCCCTCAGATCCGGAGGCGTCCCTGCTGAAGGTGCCCCACGGGGCGTGGGGTGATGCCGCCTTCGCGGAGGGCGCTCCTCCCCAGGAGCCTTCCGGGAGCTGCGAGGGGCGCCAGGCCCCCGAGACGGCTGACAGGGCCCTCTGTGTGTCAGGACCTGTGTGCAGCCTTTCAACCTCAACCTTCTGGCCGACCCACCCCATCGCCCTGGAGGGAAGACCCAGGCCCATGGATGGTGGCCAAGCGGACAGTGGGGTCCAGAGCCCTGCCCCACCCCTCCTTGCGCTGTGTGTCGGGGAGGCAGGGGACACAGGGCACCTGGGGCTGAGGCCCTCGCACCTGTGACTGGACCTGGCCGAGCCCCAGGCCGGCCTTTCTCTCCTCTCCCCCCCTCGGCTGAGCCCGGCCCGATGGAGCTGGGAGGCTCCTTCCTCACGCTTCTTCGGGGAGCTGCGTTTCCTCCCCCAACTTCACACACATGCTGCCTTCCCAGACGGTGCCAGACACCAGTCTGCTCAGCCCCGCTCCCTCGCCTGGCTCCTGCTCCCCACCTGCCCGGGCTTCAGGCTCCCGCCTGGCCTCCAAGACCCTCGGGGCTGAGACCCTCCTGTGCCCTCTGCCCTGTAGCTCCTGAGGTCCTGGGTCCGGAGAAGTATGACAAGTCATGTGACATGTGGTCCCTGGGCGTCATCATGTACATCCTGTGAGTACAACCGTCTCCGCCTCCTGCACCCCATGTACCCTCAGAACCACAGGCTGCCCTTCCCCCGGTCATGGGACGCCCCTCCTCCGGGTCGCCTGAGGCCTGTCCACACAAGGACAGAAACTCCTGGGGGGGGGAGGACGGGACAGAGGGCTGGCATTGTTGCCATGGCGTCCGGCTGCCTGTCTCCTCAGTTAGGAGCCGGGGGAGGAGAAAGGTCCGCCCTGGCACTGCCCCCACCGGTGCCAACACCCTCCGCCCTCCGCAGCCTGTGCGGCTTCCCGCCCTTCTACTCCAACACGGGCCAGGCCATCTCCCCGGGCATGAAGCGCAGGATCCGCCTGGGCCAGTACGGCTTCCCCAACCCCGAGTGGTCGGAGGTCTCCGAGGACGGTGAGTGAGCCTCTGCACCGGACCCTCAGCCTTCACCCTGCAGACCCCACTCGGGGGTCAGACCCCCCCGTGTTCAACGGCTGGCTCCCCTGCCTGCCAGCTGTGTGCCCCGAGGCAGGTCACCTGACTTCTTTGAACTTCGGTTTCTATCTCTGTCAGATAGGCTCAGCATTTGCCTCCTTGAAGCTCCCTCTAACGCCCGGGCCCCATTCTTATTTCCCTGCGGGGACCACGGGCAGGCCTGCCTGTGTCCGTTTCCCACGGCTGCTCAGCACATGGCCCCGGACCCCGGCAGGCTGACGACGTGGGTTAGGAATCTGGAAGCTTGTGGTGTCTGGGGCGCGATGGGGGGCTGTGCCCTCACCCCTCCCCTCTCGTCTTAGCCAAGCAGCTGATCCGCCTCCTGCTGAAGACGGACCCCACGGAGCGCCTGACCATCACGCAGTTCATGAACCACCCCTGGATCAATGTGAGCGCCGCCTGTGGTGGGCAGGGTGGCCAGCAGCGCTGCCAGGCGGGCGGGCGATGGCTCGGGGGGCCTTGGCGTGAGCCACAGATGTGAGGCAGTGCCCCGCCTACAACCTCACCTTGCCGCTGCCCCCGCCAGGCTCCTTCAGCTCCCCGAGCCTCGGTTTCCCCATCTGAGCCGGGGAGAAGGGGTGGGGGGAGCCAGTGATGTGCCTGCCACCGGGTGCCCGCAGGCTCTAACCCGGGCGCCGGCCCCTTCCAGCAATCCACGGTGGTGCCGCAGACCCCGCTGCACACGGCCCGAGTGCTGCAGGAGGACAGAGACCACTGGGATGAAGTCAAGGTGGGTGAACTCGGCCTCGCTCTCCCTGCAGGTCCCACCAGGGTGATGGCTACTCAGAGTCTGGGTCTTTGGCCCCGGCCCCGTGCCTGGAGCACCCGTGTCTCCGTGACTGCACAGCGGTCCCCCCATGGCACATGGCGCTGCACTGCCCCCTCCTGGGCGGAGCGCCCGGCTCACTCCCTCACCCAGGGGGCTTTGGCCGTACCCCGTCTTATGATCTACACCATTGGGGGGGCGTTCAGCCTGGTTTTAGACGCAGCAGAGGCCAGGTTGGAGCGTATGGGGCAGCAGCTCAGAACCCCCGCCTCCCCGGGCACAGTCTTCAGGCCCCAGTGCCTGCGTGTCCAGTAAGATAGTGTCCCTGCCGGCCTGTGGTTCTGAGCCCGTGACACGGTGCAGGTCCCTGTCCTGCTCTCCCGGGCGTGGGCCCAGGGAGTCATTAGGCACTTCCTGCGCCTTCGCGGGGGAGCATCGTGTCCACCACAGAGGACCGTGGGGAGGACCGTGTGGTGCGCACAGACAGGCCTCGTGCTGGGCACACAGTAGGTCCTTGGGCAGCAGAGGTGTCATCGCCTTCGCTGACTCTACGAAGGGGCCGCCAGGCGGGAGGGGGCTGGCCGTGGAGGTCGGTTCATCCTGGCGTCTGTCCCAGGAGGAGATGACCAGTGCCCTGGCGACCATGCGCGTGGACTACGACCAGGTGAAGATCAAGGACCTGAAGACCTCGAACAACCGGCTCCTGAACAAGCGGAGGAAGAAGCAGGCGGGCTCCTCGGCCTCGCAGGGCTGCAACAACCAGTAGCTCCCGGGCCTCGGAGCCTGCGGGTCGGACTGCAGGGGCTGAGGCCCCGACACAGAGGGCCCAGGTCATTTTTTTTTAAACACAAGGACTATTTTGTGGTGTTTTAATTTGCCACTTGGAACTTCAGGAGGGGGGACCGTGGCCCCACACCTCCGTCAGCGCCCCAGTGCAGGTGCTGGCCTGAGAGGGCAGAGCCTGGGGCCGGGGAGCCACCCCTGCCGCTGCAGTGCCTTCGCCCGGATGCCCTGCCCTGGCCGTGGCTGGCCCTGCCCTGGCCGTGCTCGGCCCTGCCCTGGCCATGCCTTAGACTTGTAGGCCACGGGAGTTGTGACTGGGCTTCCCTCCTACTATGAAAATGCCCCCCTGTGGGGTGGGCAGATGGGCCTGGCCTTGGGAAAGGCATCTGGCCATTGGTTGCCATGGTGACCAGGGACAGAGTTGCTGTCTGTGAATGCTGAGTGAGTGAGTGCGCAAGGGAGGGAGAAGGGGCCATTGAGGGTCGGTCTGCCTTTGCCTTCGGGGGAGGCTGTCTCTCTCCCACGCCTGCCCCCTCACTCTCAGCCTCTCTGGTCTCCCAGACGCCGCAGGCTCAGCCAGCCTGCCTCCCGGGGTGGTCCCCGTCTTGCACCCCCATCCCACAGGGCCCCTGGGGCTCCTCCTCCCCAGGCCCTGGCCCAGCCCTCCCGTTACCCCCCTCCCCAAGGAGTGGCCTCTCATCTCAGCAGAGGGTGGGAGGTATTTTTAACACTTTTCTACTTTGGAAAATGTCACTGTGACAAAAGCCAGTTCCTCTGCTCCCACCTGCTCCCGGGATCCCAGGCCGGAGAGCCTCTCCCCATGATGGTTCGTTCTCCGCCTGCCCTGGTGGGCTCGGGGGACTGCAGTGGGAGGGGATGGCTGCGGGCGGGGCCAGGAGGCTCCCTGTTCATCTCTCTCTCTCTCTCTCTCTCTCTCTCTCTCTCTCTCTTTCTTTCCTTTTTTTATTTTTCCTAGAGAGAGTGGAAGGGAGGGTAGCGGGAGAGAAAGAAACATCGATGTGAGAGAGACACATCAATGGGTTGCCTCCCCCATGTACCCCAACCAGGGCAGGGATAGAGCCTGCAACCGAGGTACGTGCCCTTGATCAGAATCGAACCCGGGACCCTTCAGTCCTCCAGCCGACGCTCTATCCACTGAGCCAAACTGTCCAGGGCTCAGGGGCCTCTTTTTACCCACATCAGACCCAAGGTGGTGGAGGCTGCTGAGTGACGCTTTGAAAGTCTGGTCCCGGCCCGCGCTGGAGCGAGAGCATCCCTCCAGGCTCAGCCAGCCCCACATGCCCCCGATCGGGTCTGCCAAGTGCCTGACACCCAGCCTGGTTCCCGGCTCCTCGCCCTTTCCTGGCGGGGAAACCCTAGACCACGCCACATGGGGAAGCACTGCTGGGTGGTCCCATGAATAAACACCATGTGGCATTTCCCCCGGCTCCTGGCTTCTCTCCGTCTGTACGAGTGGCCGAAAGTGGCTGAGGCAGCCACTCGCACCCACGAATGATTTTACACTCACTGGAGAGGGTGCCTCGGACCGATGAGCGGGCCGGCTGGCTGGAGGGCCGCTGTGCCTACCCCCCCCCCCCCCCACCAGCCCCAGGCACGGGAAGGTCAGAAGAGAGGAGGACGGCAGCCGCCCCCCGCCCCCGCTCTGTGCCGCTGTGCACTGTGTGTGTGACACCCACCCCCGGCCCCGTGTGCGCCAGCGTCTGCCCACAGCGGCCGCCCCCAGCTGTGTGCCAGCCTGCTGAAGGGCAGGCACAGTGCCTGCTGCAGCGCTGAGCTATTTTCAGAAGCTGCCAGATTTCATTTGGCAGCGAGAATGTTGGGGAGGGGAGGGGGCGGGACGCTGGAGACTGCCTTTTGACAATGACTCCAGCAGCGGAGCACCCTCAACCCTGAGGGGCCCTGTGGGCAGCCTCGAGGGGGGCCCTGACTGTGGCATATCCCCTCCCCGCCCGCCCCCCCTCACCCCGCTCCTATCCTGAAACCTCCCAGATTTCGAGGGCTCATGGGCTCCGCCGCAGCTCGCCCTCCTCCTCCTCTCCCCCGGGGTGTGGGGGAGTGAGGAGGTGCTGGGAGGCAGGGACAGGCTCCCAGTCCTGAGTTGTGCGCTGCTTCCTGCCTGGCGACCTTGCACACGGCCTCCAGCTTTCCTGCCTCAGTTTCCCCCGCTGTGTAGTGGGACGACAGTGCCACCTGGGAGTCATCTGCGGGCTCCGGCCGGTGATGCATGTGAAGGGCCGAGGGGCGCCTGGCACAGGGCTCGTGCCCAGCACCCATTTGCCGTCAGGGAGAGAAGTGCTGGGAGTTGCTCGAGGGAAAATCAATCCAGCCCCAGATCTACCTCCGGGTTTTCCACGCAGAAAACCAGGCTTTGTCCACCTGTGGGGCTCACTCCCAGGGGCCTGCTCTCCAGAGCAGCATCACGTGGCTTCCTGGACCTCGGCTCCAGCCTGGGCTTCACGGAGGGGGCCCACCCTTCTGAGGGGCGCCTGGCTCCCCCGAGGAATTCTGGGTCTCACGGAGGCTGTGGTTCAGACCCGCCTCGTCGTGTACTCTGCCCAGTGAAATGATGGCGGATGCAAAGGCGGATGGGGTCTGTCTAGTCACCGAGCTGCGGAGACACGGACTCCTCCCCTTGGCTACCGAGCACCCCCCCGGGCCTGGGACCCCGCGCTGGGGGCAGGAGGCAGCATGGGAGCCACGGACAGGGTCTCACCCCCGGGAGTTCACCCTCTCGAAGGGAAGAATAAAATACCACACGGACACGTGTTGCATCTCGGGCGTGAGACGGTCTGTGAAGGCAGGATGTGGTGGGGAAGGAGATGTCACCGACCAGTTTAAGCCAAAATGGGGAATGTACGCGCCCCAGTGCTGGGCTGTGCCCATAGGTTCCGGGTTGATGCAGAACTGCAGGGACTGCGCCCCTCAGCTCTGCCTGTCGGTGTCTCCTGGGGCCGACCTTGATCTTCCCCGCCGGCATGGCCTCCACATGCAGGACCATGGCTTCGGCGGTCTCGGCATCTGCTCGGCGTCTGTCGCCTGAAGTCCCAGGGAAGGATTCCCGCTGGCACCCGTGGCCCCGTGCTGTTGGGGGGGAGCAGAGGCAGTTAGCAGAGGAGCGGATGGAAGGGTCCCCCCAAGTCTCCAGTCTGCCGGGTCGCTTCCCATGAGGAGCCTGGACGAGCGACAAGCCCAGCCCCGGGCTGGGCCCCCAGCTCTCACAAACCAAGGCCGGGGGGCTGGCTGCCTGGCCAGGTCAGCCTGTTTGGGCTCCGCGAGGCTGTCTGGGAAGTGGGAGCCGCTCCCTGAGGGTCCGCTGGGACCGGGTGGCTGAGCAGCCAAGTGGCCACACGCTCGCCTCATCCTGTTCAGACGCAGGCATTTGCGGGGCTCCAGGTCATTTCCCTGGGAGCTTCCAATAAAGCCATGAGGAGTCTTCACACGTGCACGTGGGGGCGCTTGTGTGTGTGCATGTGTGTGCACCGTGCATGCGCGTGTGAGATGTTTCTTCCCAGGGATGCCCCCTGACCCAGCCGAGAGCGGGTGCTCTGCCTTGCCAACCTGGCGCTGGCTGGCTTCCCGCGGCCGGGCTCATTGATATTCTGCACCCGTCCCCCTCCGCCGCTACCAGCCCCTCCACCGCGGGGTCACAATTGGGCCTCAACGCGCCTCTGCCGCGAGCCCTGCAGGGGCCTCGAGGTTCCCAGGAGAGCCTGCAGCTCCCGCCCGGGCAGGGAGAGGGCACAGCCCGGGCAGCTGTCTCCGGACCTGGCCGCTGAGCCCTTCGCACCCCTAGTGCGTCCTCACAGCTGCCCCGCAGCCAGCTGGGACGTTCCTCCCTTTGTCCCTTTGGGCAGCCGGCATGGTCGCCCCTCGGGGTGGAGGCCAGCAGGCAGGGAGGGGTCTGGGAAGCCCACCGCCCGCCCTGCGTGTGGGTTATTTTGTTTAGAGCCAGGAGACCCGCGCTTTGGTTTACAACCAACGGTTCTCAACCTGTGGGTCGCGACCCCTGAAAATACATCCTGCATAGCAGATATTTACATGACGATTCATAACAGCAGCAACATTACAGTGATGAAGTAGCAACGAAACAATTTTATGGTTGGGGGTCACCACAACATGAGGAACTGTGTTAAAGGGTCGCGGCGTTAGGAAGGTTGAGAACCGCTGGAAGCCGTGGGCAAGGCTGCTTTGTTGTTGTCATCCTCACCTAGAGCATTTCCCATTGCTTTTCAGAGACAGAGGGAGAGAATCATTGACATGTTGCCTCCCGCAGGTGCCCTGACTGGGGGCAGGGAGTGAACTGCACCAGGTACGTGCCCTTGACCGGGAATTGAACCCAAGACCCTTCCGTGCAAGGGCCATGCTCTAACCACCGGAACTGGCACTGAAGGGTCTGGGGTGGCTGTTCTGTTTGAGGTTCCCCATCAGCAGAATGAGACACTGATGAGTCAGGGATAGTTGACAGATTGTGGTCTCGGGCGTATCAAACACTTTGCTGGGCCTCAATCCTCCCAAGGTGGGCAGGGCTGCGGTGGAGACAGGGAGAGGGGGGCCAAGTCCGAAGGCCTTGCTCACCGTGCAGCCCACTTGCCTACTCGGTGACATGCTGATCTGTCCGGGCTCTGCCGGCCCTGCCCTCTGTTTCCTGACCAGGAGAAGCAGCTGGGCTCAGAGCAGCTGGGCAGGGCAGGTTAATTAGGGTGTGGGGCCACCTGCTGGTCAGCCGGGTGAGCATTCAGTAGATGCCTACTGTGTGCCAGAGCTTGAGGAGCTGTGGTCTTGCCTGGGTGGAGGGGGAGACCATAACATCATGACGAACAGCTGCCATTGACTAAGTGCCTACTGTGTGCCGGGAGGGTGCTGGCGCTTTACCTGGATCATCTCAGTCCTCACATTCCCAACTTACACATGGAGACACTGAGCCCCAAGCTAGTAGCCACTGCCCTCTCTGCTGCAGGGGGTCACAGAAAGGAATGCTACTTTCAACTGGGGGCAATCATAGAAGGCTTCCCAGAGGTGGTGACATATACATTTGAAAGGCAAGCCAGGTTTGGATGGACAAAGA